AACCCGAATGAGGAAATCCCTGTTGCGATTAGTTGTAGTAGGAGAAAGGAAGTACCATATCTACATATCCTACTTTACCAACGCAATAACTCGACAAAAATTTACCGTTACTGCTTTTCGCATATGTTCAATTAGTAAAACTGATAGAAAGAAGTAGACCACGCACCAAAAACCTAGTTGAAAAAAATCGTACATTCCTATTGGACCAACAAAGGAGTTTTTACATACTTTTGCTAAATATGAATATTGGAAAAACTTTGGCGGTTGTTGTAGAACAAACAGAATAGCTCAAAACCCCAACGCCAAAACACGACACTGTAGTTGTCCGAAGCACTTTTCGGTAACAAAGTTACCTTCTTCNTGTTGCCGTTTCTTACCATAAGCCTTCGGTTAAGGTTCGGTTGGGTTCACTAGATCATAAGGTTACCATTGGAAAAGACAATACGAACGAAGTCCTTTTTTTGCTTTTGATGATAAAAATTGTTCAGAAAGTTAAAATATGAAAACTTTGGCGGTTGTTGTAGAACAAACAGAATAGCTCAAAACCCCAACGCCAAAACACGACACTGTAGTTGTCCGAAGCACTTTTCGGTAACAAAGTTACCTTCTTCAGGGACCGAAGTAAAGTTTTTTACCGAAAAGTGCTTCGGACAACTACAGTGTCGTGTTTTGGCGTTGGGGTTTTAAGCTATTCTGTTTGTTCTACATACTTTTGCTAATTATAAACATGCCTGATGAACTGAGTTAAACAAAGAAACTGATACAAATAATTAGTTGAATAGTGTCAAAAGGAGTAATTATTTCTGAAGATGTTTCTCTCAAATCGCTCTGGCAACTTAGTTGAATTTGGTCTCGAGACGATTTTACTATTTTACATATAGATCCTTTTATAGACAATCAAGTTCTCCACAAAAATGTTTTGAAGGTCATCTAGGTCATTATTCTAACAGTTTCGAAGATAAAACGTTAAGTGCTTGAACCGTTTGGAAACAAAGCTAAACATTAAAGAATTTAACAAATGATCAACGTGACAGACAGACAGAAGTCGCCTTATGTGTCTCCCGAACATTCTTCATAAAAAACTTCATCGTTAAATTGGTACCAAGGATTTGGAAAAGGATTATGGAAACAACCCTAGTAGTTTTAGTCTATTTAAGTTAATAAAATGGACTATACAACGGTATGACCAAAAACCAATAGCGAAACGTAGCATTTCGCAAATAAAACGCGTGACAGACATGCAAGTAAGTAAGTACCAACTGCGGGACCTGTGTATGGCACTGCAAATACTTGTTTAGAGGTTGCCTTCGCCATCGAGGAACAAACAAAAAGAAATCCACCAACCCACATGCGACCGCGACTGCAGCAGCTACCGAGATGTTAAATATTTATTTTTTTTACTTTTGCATCTCGCCAAACAGGTTTAAACCAAGCGACGACGAGCCGCGGTTCTGCTAATAACTGGACTTATCTTAAATTCGTCGTACAACTACGCTACGTGTACAGTATAAACTGATACTCTTTGATATAGTGGTAGCCATGCCCACAAATTACATTATACACCATTCTCAATTTAAGCAATAAATTATACGGGTTACGAACTAATTCGATGAAAACTATACGGGTTTTGTAACTAATGACACTTCTTGCTTTGAGAAATCAAAAATTAACTGGTGGTGCAGCTGAAAGGCTTTACTAATCAATAATCATTAACAAAATCGAATAGTAACTGACATCGTCTTCATACGGTCGTTAGATCGTAGACGTCAATATTTGCATTTACCGAAAATTAAAGCATTCAGTATCCCTAACAGTAATCCAATCGAAATTTACATCTACCCCTCTTATATGGCTCTGACAGACCCTTGTCCCACATGGTGTCCTACCAAATTATTTCTCCTTTCTTTCACTGGCCTCTGTCATATTTTTGACTGGAAAGATATTAATTAAAATCGAGAACTGCAGGAGCTTTATCTTGGAAGATAGTTTCATTTACAACAACAATAACAAAAACGATTCCAAAGTCTATCCTTTTCAATTTCAAATGATTATCAAGATTGCCAAACCATTGATACTTAATCAAGATTACAAAGCTTTTTACATATGTGGTTTTAGTTATTCGGTAAAAAGAACAAACTGAAAATCGACATTGATCGATAGCATTCCCATCCATATTTCATTCAAAGTCATACCATTTAGCAATTCATCAAGTGACCAACTACAATTAGTGTCTTTTGGCAGTACAGTCATTAAAGTGACCCATAGAAGACACTTTCCATTTGAAAACATTACTTGCTATGCTATAATAATAAATTATAAAGCGTAAATTTCAAACACCAAATGATATTGTAAATATAGACATAATTAAGGACTTAATGTCCTAAATTATAATATATTCACCAGCAGTCAATTACCGTGAATCCATCCGATGTCACGAGGTGAATGCTACCAAAAAGCAAATACATTACTTCTTCGATAAACTCAGCTGTTATAGCTTTTAAGCATGCAAACATGTGTAGCCGTTCAGTTTTTTTGTTTAACTCTCATCGGACTTTCAACAAAAGCGTGGAAATAGCTGAGGGTCAGTAGTCAGATTCCCCCATTCTCCCCCATCTCTTTAATATCCAATTCCCAGCGCACTGTTAATAAAATCGAATGTTATTACCCTTTCCTGAGAATCGAAGGGTAGCTCAGTGTGAAAAATAATTACAATGCACCCTTTCCGTAAAACTCTGAAGCAAGCTTTCAGTAGATATTTGCATATCATGCATGTCTCACATTGTCAAACTTTCACATGATAAATCTGTTCTCAAATCACAGGGCGTGGGTAACAAAATATCTACACAGAACGCTCTCCGTAACCCCATTGAATTAAATTCTTTATTAATATTTATGTTTATGGAGAGGGGAGGGGGACGCTCCTACAATGTATATGTACATATAAAAAATTGGAAACATAATTTTAGATCAAACGTAATATTTGTATGAGAAGAAGTAGTTGGTACATCATCTTCCATATCTCATTCGGGTAAATGTCTAGATGATGATCCCTTCGTGGGATCGAAAGAGGAGGTCTCCCCCACCACTGTACCATAAAAAGTTCGTGGCGTTCTCACCCCCATAAAAAGTTATGGGGGTTCAAAGTTGATTATTTTAACAATTTTCATAGACTATAATTCAAATAAAATTCAATAAAAAAATTATTTTCAAGCAGGTGGAGGTGGGGGATCGAAAGAGGGCGGTCACTTGACCAAACCCGATAACCTAACCTAACCTAACCTACTCTATTGATAAAGATATTTAAATAATGTTTTATATAACTTTCTCAATATTTTTATGTATTTTTCCATTACTTTTACCTCTGAATATTGTTTATGAATGATTATATAAATATTTACATGCCTAGAAATATATAAAAATTGGCATATTTATTAACTTTGAACCCCCATAACTTTTTATGGAGGTGATACCGCCACGAACTTTTTATGGTACAGTGGTGGGGGAGACCTCCTCTTTCGATCCCTTCCACCCCCTTCGTGGGGGCCATCATCTAGACCTTTACCCTCATTCGAATCATCGAACGATTCATTTAAATCGCAAAAATCTATTAATAATAACGCACATGCTATTTTTGTTGTTGAGCAGAGAATGGAGCGATGATTCACGCGATTCCAAAGCAGTCCGTGACATTAGCTAGAGTACAAATGATCTCTCGAAGCGATGTACCACTTTTATATCTCACTCGCTCTTTTCTTACGGGTCTCATGCAGATTGAGAGCAAATTCATGATCTTCTAATGACATATCATTTAGGTACACCGTATAGGATAACAGTAATACTGAAACACAGCGATTATAATCGCGTTATTAGAACTGACCTGCATAGAGAAAGTGGTACGAACGGTACTTTCGACCATTTCTAAATGACAAGGCAAAGAACGCTTGAAAAACATCAATCATCATCGTGTTTATAACTAAAGGAACTTTCATAAATGGCAACGTCTTTGATGCTTTACCTACTTATTTTAAGATAAAAAGTTTAGACCAATCTTAACTTTCTTCGTCGAGTTGTTACATAAAAAAAAACGCTCAGACAGACACATGAGTGATACTATAAGGGTTCCATACTGACTCAACATTGTAGTTGAAAAAAAAAACATGTAAAACTGCAAATGTAAATTTTTACGCACAATATTGTTTTATTGAAACGTTTACCACATTACGTTCAGACCATACACTTCTTATTGGTTTCCTGTAATCTGTAAGTGAGGAACTATTTTCTATATTTTTCTTCAAATTTTAGGTTCAATTGTTTCGATGACAAAGGGGGAAAATCTTCTACTTTCTTAAATAACTTTGTTGTTTAAATGTGACACGGTACAGTTGTTTTTTTCAATTTCCTATTGGCCCTTAGAAAAATGACCCCCGTGTTCAAAAATAATTCATTTACGTTATGCGTCCGTGTTTGGGACGCAGAAATTCATGTGTCCTAAATTTCAACTTAATCGGTCCTGTAGAATCGAAGCAAACTGACGACGAACGGACAGACTGACACACGAAGGTTCGGTTTTCCATTCGGAACTCTAAAGAGTCAGATCTTTACTATAAGACCCCATAAGAAAAATTATACTTTATGCAGAACGAATTCATGAGGTCCTTGATTATTAAAAATTGTCCTTGTTAATGAAACTCATTGCTACGGTCAAGGCCAATCATGTGCCACAGCAATATGTTTTAAAAAATCAACATGGGCATTTTTTAAACAATTACTTAATTAAATACAGTAATATATATTCGAAATATTACTCACAACTACACTTTACGCAAACAACTACGAATGATTCAATAATTTGTCTATGACCGACATAATCTGTTGAGTGAGTATTAAGTAAATAATTAATTCCATTTAAATGATGCAAACAATCAATTTAATTGAGTCATGACATCTTTAAACGATTTAAAACTAAATTTCTGCAATGAGTATACTTTAGAGTCACTCACCTTGCACACCAGCTCATTCTGAGTATTGATATCGACGCATCGATAGAGCGAACTTCCTTCGACTTGATCGAGAAGCACATATTTGTCTGCAACGATCGATGCCTGAAAATGTTTATCACCACTACTTTGAGTCAAATAAGTCTGCTGCGCTTTACTATCATTGCTACTAGTAACTCGCGACACGCGACATTCCGCGGCGTCCGTGGAGCTTTGGGCTTGGGAAACGGTTCCGGTACGTAACTTTTTAACAATATCACCACTACCACCACCGGAAGTACTTGCGGCATCCAAACTCTTTCCCATTACCGACAATCTGGAACTTATCGCGTGATAATCTTGCACGTTTTGCATTTTTGGTTTTCCTATTCTGTATCACGAATCACACACGATAATCACAAAACGGAAGAAATCCTTTAGGTTCTTGTAGATCACAACGATAATATTATTTGCAACTGAAACAAAGCAAAAGCTTTTTTTAGTATGACAGGTCTATATACCTCACCTACAAGCTAAATGTACTACGCTGAAAGCTGAAGTTAAGGCATCCTGGGCTTTGACCGATTTTGAAAGTACTAAACACGTTTTCTAATCTAGTATACACATAGGTACAAACTGAAAAGGAAATGAAATAATCAAATATTTGCTCCTAATCCCGACCATCACATAATGGGTCCCTAGTCAACAAAACTTATCAGATTTTCAATCATAATATTACACACCTTTACCAAAGCTTTCTTAAAACAAATAATTTTGTTTAAGAATTCAATTCTAAATGATTCAAAAATACCACACATACCAATAAGTCTATTCACATCCGCTTAAAGCCGAAAAATTACTGAAGATTCTTCTGATCGTGCTAGTCGTATTTGGAGAATAAAAAATATACCTGACCTGCACAATATCGTGTATACAAATGACTCTACAAGAAGTAGTATCATACGTAATACTTTAAAATAGTGGTTAATATTTATATTAATGCAAAAATCATTAAATAATTTTTAAACACTAATTCGTAGCGGACAAAAGAAATAAAACGATTTTTCACATTAACATTTACAAGTACGTATACGTGTGCATATAAAATACGCGACTATAAAGATAGAATTAGAATGATTTGCTACTAGGATTGCAGAAACACCTACCGATCACCTCACCTTTGCAACAACAATCATTAAATAAACGCGTTTACGAAATATTTGGCAATAGGTCGAAACGGCAGTCACACCTTGGAAGAAAGACACTTGCAGTATATCACCAACTCGTCACTAACAATAACAAGAACTAATTATATGAATAAGTTACGAAAAAAATTGTTGACGTTATCCGTAATCCGAATACGAAACCAGTGACTGAGTGAGTCCACAGCGTCACTTCGACTGCCAGGCGAACTACTAACTACATAGCAACACGGTCGACTACAAGCAGAAAGCACGTATCCATGCAATACGTAAACGCTGGCGTAAAAGCTTCCGAGTTTCACGATCAACATGCGAAACGTCAAGAGGGGGAGCGATCGACGCTGCCCTGTGCGCATGCACTAACGCTTCCAGCAACGAGCTTTAAGGACTAGCGCTAGCGCTTTCTGGCTTTCGCCTGTATATGTATATTTGTACTATATGCATGCCCGAAGAGTACGTACTGCATTATATTAATCATAACTACAATGATGCCAAGGGATTCGTACCTCTGCAGGAGCTTTTACGAATTGCACTTGCGGCAATTCTATAACAGCTCCTTAAAGCGAAACGGGCGAACTTAAATGAAAAATGTAAACGGTTATAACTGGAGGATTTTTTGAAAGTTAATGTTATTTATTTTGCATGTCAGTGGTATGTAAATCATTATCATAACAAACACTTGAGTCAATCGTTGCATTTCTTGAAAACTACAGCGGCTTGCATCTCTAAAGGGTATCCTACCAACCTATCTCGCCTATTTTTATTTTCCTACACCGTCTAATACCTAATAATTTCTAAAATTTTCTGCCAAATTGAAATGGGTCAGCTACCCGCTATGGATCCCGCACCCAGTGAATCCAGCTCTTTTTTTAGGATCCGGCCGAGTAATTCTATCAAAAAATATACAGCCGCATGTATATATCTAGACTCGTAGAAATAAATGTACATTTTTTTATAAAATGTAAAATATTTCATTAGATAATAAAGTATTTCTATGCTGCTGCATTTGGTCGTATCTCAAAATTGAAAGATCAGAGCATTCGGTCGCACTCGAAAGCTCTGCTAAAGCAACCCTGTGAAAGAAGAATGGCTTCGAAGGTGAGTTTTACCTGCTTAGTTGTAGTATTGCATAGTGCAGCTTGCCACCCACCACAACCTATCCTTAATACTACTAAAAAAAAGCATTTTCGGATCACAAGATAAACAAAAACCGGGGCAGCTGGAGTTTGATTTTTACAGCATACGTGACCGTATTTGTATGCGAGATGCTTGTCGAAATCCTAACATCTGCCTTGATTCCTTTATTTTCGAAAGAAAAGGTTGAAAATGTGTTGTACAAAATTTATTATGGTTGACCATCATATTTTTAAGTTTTCCTCTGAATAATATTTTTTATGGTTAATATTCACAATTATCCATGGATCAAAATACAAAACATTCATTATTCCAGTACGTATTACGTGTTAGGTACTTAACTACAGCTGATCGTGTTTGTTTTTTGAAATCGTATTATCGTACCGAACAATCAACATTCGAAAGTGCATGAAGAGATCTAAATGCATTTTCTGTATTGTGGATTATAGTATATATTAATCTACAACTTCTTTTTTTAAGTAACTAGACAAATTTTACATACAATGGCAAGATTCATAGGTATAACACACTTTACCTTCAATATACATTAAACCTACCCTTTTCATGAATAATTAATTAACTCTCAGATTAACTCAAAATACTAATCAGTCGTCGGTTTGAAGACCCTAAGATAATCATTTCCTAATCTAGACTCCTAATATTGTTTCTAAAAGTTTTATAATTGTTTTACTTCTGAAAAGTCACTTAAATAGAGCAGAAGATTATAATAGCAATTAATACTTAGAATACTCTAATTAGTAAGACTCTAATTATACCAAACAATAGGTATATCCAAAGGCAGTAATAAAATAGGTGGTTCTAAATTTACCCTTTCGTATTACTACTTTCTTTAAACAAGTTTCTACCATAATTTACTAATAAAAGTTATAACAAAAATCCATTACCTCAACAACAACAATCTATTGTCTCTAGCGTACCTAATATGCTTACAATTTCGTACAGTGTTGTATTGTTTAATTGTGATGAGAATATTGACCCTCTGGAGATAATTATTCCTGATAGGTTCAAAATATTGTCGTAATAATCACTAGAACAATTACTTCCACTTAAATATATAAAATTAATGGATACACTGTCATATTTAATTACTCTTTGATAACATTTAATTAATTTTCTTCAGAACCAAAGCATNTTTCGTCAGACAAACAAACACCTTCCTTTAGACAAAAAATAATGAAATATTCATTAATACCAAGGCAATGCCGCGTACCCAAGTAATATGTGTAAGTTGTATTGTTTAATTGTGATGAGAATATTGACCCTCTGGAGATAATTATTCCTGATAGGTTCAAAATATTGTCGTAATAATCACTAGAACAATTACTTCCACTTAAATATATAAAATTAATGGATACACTGTCATATTTAATTACTCTTTGATAACATTTAATTAATTTTCTTCAGAACCAAAGCATAATGTGATATTCAGGTAGATAAAGGGTACAAGATAGCACAATGACATCAGGTCTCTCGAAGGGTTGTTCGTTGTATATATTCAAAGGAATAAAATGATTTTATAAATGTAATAATATGTGTAAGATATCGCTTTTCTTGCGATTTTATAAACCATTTTCTTAATACTCTTGGTGATTACTGAATATCTAAAAGCAAAAATAATGATTNAATAATAATAATAATCTTTATTGTGAATACTAAACATTTTTAGAACGCATGAAATTTTCTTGCGAAATGTTTCTGAATAAGATTAATATGAAAGCATTTCTGTCTTGCGCCAAGTTTTTGTTTTGTTTTGTATGAATAAATGTACCTAACGCATATTAACTTTCTTTCGAAGTTTTCATCATAATATACAAACATATTAAAGATAATAATAACACTGTCCTCTCGGAAAATGTTTTTCTTTTTAAAAGAAAAACTTATTTATATTTTTCTTTATTATCATTTTCGATGAGATTTAAAAAAAAATCGAACATGGCATAACCCTTTATCAAAGTTTCACAATTTCGTATTTGTAAACTTTGATAAAAATAATAAAAACGAACATTTCAAATCGTACAAATTATTACTTAATAAGCATAATTTTAATTATGAAGCAAATATTTATATTTTTTAAGGAAGCAGTAAAATAAGTAGCACCATTATTTGCAACTGTTAGGCACATGGTATATTTATTTAAAAGAAAACCTGGATTACCTAAAGGGTAGCTTTTTTACATGACGAATTTCTTAATAACCAAGTCAGTTATCATCGCACTCATCAAACAGTCATCAATTACTAATACTTAACCTATTTTGCAGTGGATCAAAACAATATTAAAGGCGATCCATGTTGGCGAAAAAGTAATTAACGTTTCAAGAGGTAGACATACGCGCTATTTTGCACGTGAATGTGTACGTATTTTTAGATTTAAAACGAGATCGCGGTTAACCGTTGTTGATTTTTAAATAACTTGCTCCTAATTAAAAATATAACGTGTCTCTAATGAATGTTTATGGTATGGCTACGCTTATTAGGGATGAAATGTAACGATACCTTTACTTTCCCAAAGGTTAGTGGTCAGTAAAAATAGTCTTCAGATTTTGCAGTTTTGTATCGTCTTCTCTTGCGAAATATATAAAATATAATTACTCAATGGAAATTTTATGTAAGTAAATTGCATTATTATTAGAAATCAGGCCTTTTATAGCAATAGTCCCTTTGTAAAACGAAATTAAATTGGAATAAGAACACTGTGATGGTTCAAAAGATGAACTCTCCATGGACCCAAGTATTCATGACATGAGCCCAAGTTAGAAACCCTGCTTTATAAGTACAGTATGATTCAAATATTTTGGTTTGCATTTGGTATTTTATAAATAGAAAGTATAGATTTAAAAAGTATCCAAATACGTATAAAAAGTGATACTTAAATACTTATAAAAAAAGGATGTAATACTATAGAATATAATAGAGTTTTACAGGTATTAAATAAAAATATTTCATATAAATAACTCTCTATCTCTCTCTGTAACAAACACTCTCATTTCCATTCTCTCTCTCATTCCAATTTTGAAGTCTCTCAAGTGTTGTAGTTGATTTTACTGTGTTCGTGTTTGCGGATATCAAAATTTTCTAGTTTTTATGGTAAACCATATCACATCCTGCCCGAGTGGTCTAGTTAATTAGTTGTTATCAAGTGTTTTGAATGTTTATTGCAACAGGATTATTGAAAAATAAGAATAATAATACTCCAACGTATCCAATAGTGTAAGTTAATAGATTAATCGCAGACTTCCGATAACCTGTACTATTTCATCAAACGGAGAGTTACCAACTAGTCATAAGAAATATCCACACAAATGTGCTTGTAGGTCACGGTGTAATTTAACTTTTTATTACGAAACAGCGATTAATAACTTTTCCATTGTCACAAAGTTACTTAAGGTCTAAATCATGAGGATTTCAACGAATTTCATAATAAACTGAAAAAAGTATTGTGAGATCACTATAATCCCTATTATTATTACAATTGGCACCCACCATTGGATTACTCGGCAAATTTTAATCCTTTCTTCTTCGCGAAAATTACATGCATTAGGTTACTACAATTTGTGTATCTTTTCCTTGGCGATCGCCTAATAATCTTGTCTTCATTTGTTGTAAAGTTTCACAATAAATCGAACGATGTTTTTATCTATTTCTTGATTAGGACATAAGCTATCAAGTGATTAGGTACGTATTAAAAAATATGTGTGTAGAAATCAATAAATTTACAGTTTAAACAAGAAGTACGTATCATGTTAGATCACAAAAATGAAACATTTCTTGCTTCTAATTAGCTTTAGTAAACAATATTACAGCATGTTGATTATATTCCCAAATGAGTCACATTATTTCCACAAACTTACTATGATTATTACCTATAAGGTACATGGGATTTATTTAAATTTTTCCTTCCAATAATATTTCTAAACACCTGTTAGAGTTACAAGTGTTTTACCTGTTCCTCAAAGGCGTACATTACATGTACGTAAATACAAACAATTATGCATAAAAACAGTCAACATATACTTAATTAATAATTTAAAACAAACATATTTCACAATTTTGCAACCAGTTGTATACATTAGTAAACAAATTCAATGGCGCTATCGATGCGT